CCAGGCACTCTTTAAAGATGTAGCTCTGTAAATAACAGTCTTTTAAGTGTGCTAAGAGCAGAAATAAAAACAGGTTTACCGGAACACAGTGCGCACTTTGAGTAGGATTTGCTCCCAGGATGGCATGTTATTACCTTGTGCTGCTGATTGCTTTATCAGGTAATATTATCATCGCAGTTATAAATTTTATGTCTTAGTCTAGTACAACTAAATAAGGAAGGGAAGGAGAAACCAAAAACGAAGTTACAGACCACAGCAATCCCACAAGCCAGACAGACTACTGTAAAGCGAAGTCATTCCCATCATCTTGCTCTCAGCAAAGTGCTACTTTTAAACCTTTTACAATCCAGAAAATCAAGCAATTAGAAGTTAATTAAGCTACGGAACAACATACAGCTTTCAAGCCCAAAACAAACCAGAATAGACACACTACCTGACATTTAAATTGGTTTCTATCTTTTCATCACAGGATAAGAAAGCTGGAGGATTGTCTTAATTATTCAAGAGTGGGGGGTTTTAAACCTAGTGTCTTTTCTATATTAATCTATGGGCTTGCACAAGCTGGCCTGCCTCAGTTTCCCCCTTAACTGAAAGGGTTCAGCACTCCTCCGCCAGATCCACTGTGCACTGGTGGTTGCTGGTGCAGAACAGCTGCTGCACATCACCCAGGTGGATGAAGGGGGTCCCCTTTTCTATGTGTGACATTCTCGGGGATGTAAGCCGCTTTACAAATGCAATTCGCTTTCATTAAATGCAGAGACTTGCAGCCACAAACAGAGAAGATGTAGATAAAAAAGCAATGGAACAAAGGAAGAGCTTCTCTAACACTCGTTTGCAGATAGAGGCATTGGTACCCTGTATCTGAAATAAGATTACTCACCAAGTGTCATTTACACACTCCATTAGACTCATTAGCACTAACTTGCCAATGACACCTGTCCTACGTCTACTGAACATTCATTCATCTGCCCAAGTGGCATTTATTAAAGGCGCAGACTTGAGCCTATAAATGCTGCAGATTAATAAGTGAGAAGGGCAGGAAACAACACCCAGTTTCCAGACCCTGACCCTGAGCCTGACAACGTGTTGCCCTGGACTACGGCGAAGCTGAAGAGACAGCAGGATCACAGGAGCACGACCTCTGCTCGTCACCTGTCTCCTCCTCCTAAAGCGCAGGTGATGTTCCTCCTGGGCTTTAACAAGGTCCATTCCAAAAGCAGCCATCCAGCCTTTCTAGAGAAGTGGGAACCTGTTAAATTAGTGTTGATTCTACACAAACACTGGGTGAAACAGTAAAGAAATACATTAAAAATAAAGTCTAAATTTGAAACAATTAAATTAGATTAATTAGGGCACTGCATATACAATATAAATTAGTATACACTGCACAGTAAGTGACAATACTTGTTTCCTCTGGAACAGGTTATCCCCATGAAGGCACAAATCTTAATAAAAAATCTAACTTTAAAATAGGGAATTAAAGAAGCCTGTTACTGAACACATAGGCCTGAACATTTCTTATAAAAACGAATTTGCTCTAATCAAAGAGAAAGGTTGAGAGTTAAGACTTGAACAGACAAATGGTTTGGTTTTTGGAGGAGCAGAACACTCATATCCTGCTTTTACAAATGCATGTGCATGTATTGAATTCTGTTACATTTTAATGGGTTTGCAGAACCTTTTTGAAAAATCTGATCATAACATATACTATATAACGTATAATATATAAAAACATACTGTATACTTTGTACCTGCTCTTTGCTGCTGATGCAACCAAGACAGGGCCTTAAAGTGACTGAAGACACCCATTAGTCATTACAGGCCTTGTGCATAATCCTCACATAGCCCTCATTTCCAGCTGTGCCATAACACCAGGCTGTTGCACTTCTGTAAGGCTGAACTCAAGGGAGTGGGCATCAGGACAAAGTTATCAACTTTGTAATGAGCCCATGCTTAGCACAGAAATCTAAAGGGTAAACAAGTCCGACGTTCAGCTCGTGCTGAATTCCTCGTTCACTCAGTGCAATTGATTTTATTATCAACAGCAAAAACCCCATGACGTGCAAAATGAATTGCTTTATCGGGGGAATAATGATCTAGCAATGAAAAACATCTGCGATGGCTTATGATGTTATACACCTGAAAAACAAAGGAAGCCGCTTGCTGGATGTGCTGCCAGTGTCTCAGAGAAAAAGACAACAGGATCCTGGTTTAATTTTCAGCAGAAATGGGTCCCCAGAGGTCTGTAAGTAAAATGAAGGAGCACAGAAGAGCAAAGATCTACATTTGGGACGTCATTAGTCACAGGCGCTACTTCAAGACCAAAGTGGTTCAATAAGCATTCCAGCTTTTTTGTTGCAGTCATAACCAACTGTTGCAATCCAAAGAAGCTACAGTGCTTTACACAAAGTACTGGAAATCTCAGCACCAGCCCGGTGTATCTCTGAAGACTTTGCAGAGGGTTCTGACATGAGATTGACTTTATAAAGAGCAGTGGCTCTGACACACAAGACTTGGTCACCTCCTGGCAGAATTCATCCACTGCTCGAAAAAGAATTGAAAAATGAGAACCTATGACATGCTATGCATGCATCAGCAAGTAATACTGTTACTATCAACCACATCCAGACTTAATGTGTGACAAAAAAAGTACAGTATCTATTGGCATTTCAGGAAAACGTTATACCCCTCTATTTTGTATTTAACAGGCTGAAAGTTGTAAATACCTGTTGTCCACTTAAACCTGTCTTAAAACCTACTTTATTTCTGACGCCTTGACACATACCACTGAACTACCCAGATTACTGAAGGCAAAACAGGAAGGACAGTGAACATCAGTTTCTACATGAGCAAAGGAGGCTGGAAGGCAGACTACTTGAACATCAAAGGGTTTTCTGTCAATTAATTAGATGTACTTTTATTTTCATCAGCAGGGGTGTCCTCTCTGGGGAAGAGAAAGAGTGCAGCCCTGCTGAATTAGAATCAAACACCGAATGTATTATTCAGCCACACTGAATTGAACCTTCAAGGTAGATCCTTTGCCTTTTCCCCTATACCTTAATATCACCTTTTCCGACTACAGTATATGGAAGTGCAGTGTCATAGGTCTATCTACAGTTTTTCAAACCTACTGACTGTACACCTTTCAAATAATTCTTTCCTCTGTTGAACAGCAAAGCAGATAAAAAGGTATTTTTTTCTCCACACACCTGTTCAGAGTCCTCTGCCCAGTAAAATGCACACATGTAGCCATGACAGTTGCTGACAGAGTATATCCTAGGAGCCATTAGGATGACTTAATCAAAGTTTTTACTTTAAAAGACACATCTCTTACTTTCTCTATTCTCCTAGAGATACACACTTCAGTATAACCTACAAGTAAGGAGTAACTAACATAAAGTCTCCTTTAATTATTTTTTTTCTTCTGATTGGTACAAAGTACCGTCACCAAGGTAGAAAGAGATCTGCTATCACTGCGCTCCATTAAACCTACTGTAAATTATTTTTCATGAGACTTGCACACAAAAAACACGTGCCTGCTAAAAAGCACAGACACTTAAGAAACCTATAAAATCGTTACATTTGTTGAAAAATATTTTTCATACAAAGCCAGTTAAAGATAGTTAATAAAAAAAATATTTCGGACTTGCGGCGTTATCGTTGTACAAAATGAATCATTTATCACTCTTGAGGTGCAAGTGTACAAATGTAAATCCATAAAAACACCACGCATATACAGTATTTCACAACAATGCCCCTTCAGGGGCCAGTGCTGATCCAGTCGTCTATTTCCTTATTGGTTTTAAACAGCACACAGTATGTTTCTGAAAACTGTGCTCAGACTCCTCAAACTACCGACATCCTTCGGAACACCGACCTCGATGCGTTTCTGTATTAAAATAAACTGATCGTGTCAAAAACAAGTTTCCGTGTTGCCTCCCAACGCGCAGGCTGATTTCTAAATCTTAGAAAGGGGAGCCCACATTAAGAAAAATATAATTCAAGATACAGTAGAGCCGTAACCCACGACGATATCTTCACGGCTGACACATGAACATGCACAAAGGTATGTTCCGTTCTGGACATTCCAACATGACATCTTAGAATAAAAAACCCGGCTATTTGCATTTAACTGTCGGGATGGCTATTAAGATATGAGTCAGTTTCACCTTTATAAACGCTATAGAAAAAACAACTCCGCTCTCCCCTTACAATAATCCTCCCCCCACCCCCCAAACTTAAAAGTCCGAAGAGGGGAATCCCCCCCCAGTCCCCTCATCGCGGAACATATTAAGTTTACTTGCACGTTTGCTATTGTACAGGTGTGCAAACCTATTAGCCTAGTCACTGTTACAACTGCCGCTACTGTACTGTATGTGATTGCTGCTGACACGCTGCGGTAACAATACAATTTGCGATGCTTGACTGAATAGAGGGGCGTTCGTTTCTTCGCTAGTATCAGACAAAAGTCGACTGAAGCTTTTCATGAATTAAAATCCTCTGACACATTCGACACGAAGTAAACCTGATGAAATCTGCGCACATCCGTGTGAAAGTTCTGCTAAGGTAAATGGGGCTCCCTTCTCTCGGTCGGGTCCAAAGACACGAGACGAGATGCGATGAGGACGCGCAAAACGCACCTCGATGCCCACTCTTCACGTTTTCACGACACTACTAAATACTCGATTCCTATAAACTGCCCCTTGGCAGGGCAACGTCAGCAAACCACTGTCATTTTCGTCAGCAAACCTGAAACTGCGCCGTTTTGTGTCGATTTAAATACCTTTTCGCAGCAATGTTTTGAATACCTTTACAAGAATCGCGATCGCTAACTTGCGGCACGCCGCTCGAAGAGTCCTTTATTAATTTCTTAGATTAACACACTCCTAAAAGTAAGACTAGAGTTGCTTCAAAGCGTCGCTGGGTTAAACAATAAACGCATGTAGCTGCCCTAAACTTAAGACGTATCACAAATGAAATATAACATAAACAGTTCTTACCATTTTGAAGCGAAGACCTTAGGTCTCAATACCATGTTATGACTCTAGAAATCCTCATAGCAGAAATCACATCTTCTTGGAGAGAGCACACTGGGCGTGAAGCCGGATTGAAAGATCGCTCTGCCCTCTTCCAAAAATATCCTGTGTGTCAAGCTTAGCGGACGGGGGCAGTTTGTTTGTTTCTTTCTGTCCGGGAGTTTCACAAGCGGCTGGGAAGGTAAAAGGAGAGACCCAGTGTACAGTAAGTAAGGTTATCTGTGATTTGAGTAAGACGGGCTTTCGGCTACCTAGAGTAGGAGTCTCCTCCTCCTGTCTCCCAGCGCCAACCTCAGTGCGGACGAGCTGCCCCGCCTGTAGACTCGGGCTGTAGGAGAGCTCCACACTTCTGCTCCACAAACATCTTTCCGCGTCCGCTTTTCCCGAGACGGAAAGGCATCGCGTCTGCAGAGCAAGAACTAAGCAGCATGGATGTGACTGCTCTTCAGTTCTGTGCTGATCTCAACACCTGGCGTCCCGTTTCCCAGGCACCAGTGCTCTGCTGCGAGACGTACCTTCAGCGGGCTCATGCCTTTACTGCACGGAGGTATTTATCAGGTACAGGTGCGACGTCAGAAACGCGGTTCACCAAAATGCGATCTGTCACAGAGCAGACTGGCTATCAGAAGGTGACTGACGCAAACTCGATTATTAAACACCGCGTTCCACTGCTTCGGTGAATTAAGTCTCGGTGGAAGCACTTACTGCAGTTAATGACCATGCCTGCAAATCGGCTAATGTGTTTCTGTATTGCTTGTAAGTTTTTTTTTTGGACGGACAGCAGCATTTCATCGAATAACGTCAAAAACAGGACCCTTGACAGATGTTAAGATATTTTTTTGCACGTTTTTTTTTCCAAATGAAACATTCGCTCTCCCGATCTCTGCGCTCTGTCACACCGAACTTTGAGGCAGTTAAATGTTTCTAGAACTTCCTGGTCCGTGTTTTACAAATTCACATTTCTGTACAAGGCAAACGTGAGGAGGTGGAGCAGTTTCCTTTCTGGAAGCAAAGATCAGAAAATCATCTCGTTTAAATCAGCACTTTTACCTGGAAAATGTTTTATACGAAAGTCTAAAATAGTAACAGCAATTGTATATAAATACATTATAATGGGAATGTTTACAAAACTAAACTGTATGATATTATAAGTGATATTCTTTATAATATCTTCAGTGTTAGATAACTAGCTACTGTATATAATAATTAAATGTGCAACACGTATTTCAAATCTGTCGGAACCGAAATGACATGAACATAAATAATTCTAAAAACATTATATTAAACTGTTGATTAGCCGTATTTCTTTCACTTTCTTGGTGGTCGCAGAACCGTTTATACTTGAGTTCTTGTATGTTTTCTGGAGGAACACAAATGTTAAAATGATGATACAGTACGCGATGTTTATTTATTTGCACGCCTGGCTTCTGAGGCTGGTGTTTGAAAGCACTGGCTTTCAAACCAAAACCATCAGAGAATGTCATCAAAGTAAACCAGTGAAGTAGTTTATTGTTTTTTGGTTGTTTTTAACAGACATTTGACTACCTCAAACATTTCCTAATTGGGTGAGTTGGTATGCTTTAGGAAAGCAATAACTACATTTATGGTCAAAATGAAAATCTACATAAAGACACACTTCCAAATGCATCGAGTATTGAACCCATGCTGTGAAAAGCAGTTCAGCTGGTTGTTTGGTAAGGGTCTTACCAAATATACAGAGACATCACTTTGTGCACTAACGTCATGAAAACAGCAGGTGTAACATCCCACAGATACTGCAGTCATGTGGAAGGATGAAAGGGCGATGCACTAAAAGACTGTGAGCATTGAGCAGCACTGCATTGCCCAGCTGAGCTCAGAAGCAGAAGTCGAAAGGGAGTGCCAGTAGATGTCATGGCTGAGCTCTGGGCTTCACAGTGCCATCAGTCATCTCTTGATATGCTGTAGACACTGGGACAGTGAATACGTCAATGAAAGGCCCTGTCATGTCACTACTGCCAGCTGGGATGTTGATTTCTGTCTTAGAAACTCATCCTTGCTTTGTTGTAAAACAAGCGTGATCCAACTCCAGCAATGTTAGAAGGACATGAGGAACATCCATGTCCCCTGGCCGATGACACAGGGTGCTGTAGCATGGCCTGTATTTTGGATGGAGCTCATTGGATACTCTTCTCCACATGACTGCCCCACCACTGCTTAATTTCCCAACATGACATTGGTGTTGGTCTGTCTCACACTGCAGCGATTCCTAACCTGGAGCTGGCTGAAGAAGACCTGACACCTCAAGTAGGCTCATCAGCTGAAACGTTGTGTTACTTCTTTCTACTTTGCAGGGCAGATTCAACTTGACCTCCTCTGTTGTCATTGCATTGTTACCTAATATCATTTGATCAGACTTGTAACACATCTCATGGGAGTTAAGATGAGTGTTACTATGATGTCACTGGCCAGACAAGTTGCCCATGCTGTCTTCCTGGCGTCTCTGTGTCTTGGACTTCTCTGCCTGTTGGTACGTGGCTCAGGGCTGGGAGATGACTGAGAGCTGACCAGGGGACTGACAGCTTTTGGGGATGCTTGTGAGATGGACTGCAAGGCTGTCACACAATACTGCATGGTGTATCTGGTGTCCCATATTTTTGAGAGGATTGTTGTTTTGTCAATTGTTCAGTACTTTAACAATCTTTAACATCACTGTGGTATAATACTTGCAATTCAGGCAGAAGTACTGTCGATAAACTATCATGCAAGCTTTATTACCTTCCAAGGTTTCTTTGTTTGCCAAATAAACTGGAGGAGAGAAAAATATCAGTGCATGATTGTGTGCAGCGTATTTACTTTTGTCACTGCTGTAGTTTTTGTTTATCTGTGATGCGCTTGATTTTGAGGTTTCATTACTCTGAGCTGTTTCCATGGGAGCATCACAGTCAACCACTGAAAAAACTGGAAAAAAAAAACCTAACAGCTCCTTCCCATTAAATAGCGGAGAGGGCATTCAGATTTCAGAATGATCTCTTCCATTTCGTCAGGGAAAGTACATCCTTTCCACGTGTAATGCAGAAGACATTAAAGAAGCAAGCACATCATTCATGACACCACAATGAATGTGGCCTCAACGCACATACCTGAAGCTCAGTGAAGAATGCAGGCTCCTTTGACTTTGTTGTTGAACACACATGCTGGATTCCTGAGGACCGAGGCGTGCAAACAATCCTGGGTTCAGAGCCTTTATTTTACAGGCCTGCAAAGGAGCAGATAGCTGCTTTGATAAAATGCATTGGATCTTCACGCATCACAATTAAGTGTGTGCATGCAGTGTATTTTTTTTATCACGCATATCTTGATAGGATTTTAATGCAATTAGGTGGTGCTGGCAGACCAGTAGGTGGCACGCTTCTTTCTGGACTCGACTCGGACCGCTTACCCCAGTCTGGGGTGCTGTTGGAGATGCCATCTTTTGGACGGCCATTTAAGATTGCCTGACTCCCTTCGTAAGAGCAGGGAGACTCTCCATGGGATCCTGGCTTAATTCAGCTTCTGACGGATTTTCCAATTTCTCCAAATCATCTAGTGGGGCTGTCGGTAAGTACAGTACCAGTGGCAGGTAGCAGCAGGGAGACAGGTGCCTTGAAGACACACCCCTCTACTAAACGCAAGTTGCATTACACTTAATTCCTAATGAAAAAAAAAGAACATGGCTGGCACATTTGCAGTGACACAAAATGTGATAGAGAAGTATATACTGTATTTTAGAGCTTACTGGCTTTTTTGACAGGTATTTTTTATTCTATTTTGCTTTTTAAGGGGCAACAATACAGTAAAAAGAGCACATAGTATTTCTCTTCGTAAGTGTTTATGAAGAAATAAAAGTGTGCACATTGTGCTGATCAATCACAGAACAGCCCTCGCCTCCTGTTTTACATTGCTGTGTATTTCCAGAACAGGTGATTGTCAAGCTGTGTGTTGTTTTAATTGGTGTTGTACTGTTTTGTACATGTATAATTGTGACTTTTAATAAATTGTCACTGTCTCATTGTTACTGCCAGGAGGCAGAAATAGCAAGAGAGAGCAATGGGCATTGCTTATTTTTTTTCAATTTTGTTTTCTTTTTGTATAGTTCCCAGAATGGCGTCTTTATTTTGTTATACAGTAAAACTTATCACATTAAAACAGTTTACAGTGCCCCCCATTTTTTAAGCCCAGTTCCTTTTTGTCAGTACTGTTTCAAACCAAGAACAGGAGGCCCTTCTGTGCCCAGAGGCGTAAGGGACAAGTTACCCAGCCATGCGAATAAAGTCGATTCCCCGGCCTCCTTCAAGAAATGGCTGGATAAGATCATTGGATCAATAAGCTGCTGACTACCAAACAGGACAGATAGGCCAAATGGCCTCTTCTCCTTTGTAACCTTTCTTAGGGTTTTTTAGGTATCTGTGATTACTGAGCAAAGCAATTTGTCTGAGACTGTGAGATAACAGGTTAGGAATTACTAACCAACAGCACTAAGAGTTATAGTGCATTTATAACTCCTGACATTCAAGCCCTTCTTTGGAAAGTAACTGTGAAAGTCCAAAGATACGCGTGCTGTGATGGACAAAACAGTTAACGAAAATGGAAATAATAAAATGCTTCAGTCATCTATACGTTTCACTTGCTGTGCCCAATGCACAATCAGAATGAGCCAGCACCTAACCCATCAGACAGCATGTTAAAGGGAGCACACACTCTGGGTGGAACCTATAGGCACACTGACCATCACAGGGACTGAAATGACAATGCAAAGGCCACACAGAAGGCCCCCCGGTCTAATTTCGAACCCAGGACCACAGAGCTGCGAGGCAGCAATCCATCTTCACCATCACCAAGTAAATGTGAGTTCTGTTTGTTTGATCATATTAAAAGCTTAGATTCATCCATTCTTTCAATGTGCTGAGAAGTTATACCGACATTTCATCTGTGTATTCTTGGTACAGTACCTGCACTCTGAATATGTTTTACAAATGCTTATATATGAACTTATTGTATAATTTGTATACATTGTATCTGAGCTGCACCGAGCTTAGATTACTGATATAAAGAAACAACTTACAGTATGAAAAAACTATAGGTTGCATCTTATAATGAGCTTTGCACATAAAAAAATGTATTCATATTCTACAGAAAAAAAACAATCAGATGTTTCTTACAAGTGTGTGTTGCTTTTGTCTTCTGGGATATTCTGGAGGATCAGCTTCTTCTCAAGACAGAGTTGGATGAAGGACTAAAATATTGCACTTTGTATGCAGATCCACAATTCCTATCTGAAAAGTCCAAATGCATTTCCAGGTTTTGGGCTATGTGTCACATTTTATATTACTATTTCAAATGAAGTGCAAGTGCAGCACAGCAAAAACCATCAGTAAAAAAGAACAATTTGAATTTTGCCTACCCAGACATATTCTAGGGACATGTAGCAGCTTGATTTTATACGTTCAGGTTAATAACGCACAAGTTACAGGCAGTCCAAACACTGTATATTTACACACAAACACTGCACCTTTGTATTTTAAGATGACCATGACATGGGAAAAGTGTGTGCCCACACTGCGCATTACTTTGCATGCCAGCTCACTTGAGTGTAAATGTGCTATTGAGTGCCTGTGATCTGAAAGTTCCCTCCCCTCAATTCTGCAGGGTGAAAGGTCAATAACTACTCTTCACCAAGCGTGCACCTACCAATATCCCACTCTCATTACTAATGCCTAACTAGGTCAGCTGGCACAGGGTGTGCACTTCATGATTTTCTGTGTAACTGAAACAGAAACTAGATGATAATACTGTATGGTGGGTTTAAGCTTAAGTGTTTCTACTATCAGTTATTATCAAAAAAGATGCACTCTGGCCAATCACTTATTTTAATAGTCTGAACAAGATTGCTTGCCATATTTCAGAGAGAGTGATGGTTTGGCTGTTCATTAGTGTCCCATCTGTAATAATGGCTCACAAAGCTTGTTTAATTGTGAACTTGAATCACTAGAGACCAAAGCTCTTTGGACTTATTTCTTTTTCTCATTGAGAACCCGAGAGCCACCACAAGGTTTCTGCCTACACTATACTTTCTCATGGGCAGATATAAAAATTTGCATTATTGCTAGTAAATACTGCAAAGCATGAAAACACTTTAAATCTCTCAATGGACATTTCTTTCTGCACATGCAAGAAATATATGTTTGTGATGAAGGGCTGTGCTAGGCACTCATCGCATAACCTTTGTGGTCTGTCATAGGAGATTTGTACAGTATGTAGTTTTCATAAATATCTATTGCTGTGTTATTTCTGTCTTACGGGTATAGCTGTATTGTGTTGCGTGTCACCTGTTGTGATTTGCAATGCTGTCTTGCATAGATCTGTTCCACCATCCTGTGTCAGGTTACAGAGCTTTTCAACCAGCCCTTTAAAAGGAGGCTCACCTGTCCATCAAGAGGACCAGGAGGTGGGGTTTATAGTATATAACCTGGCCTAACAGGTTGTGTTGGCTGAGTTTTGTCCTGTCCTGCTGTATTTCTGTTGGCTCTTTTTGGTTTGGTTTCCCTTATTAAACCTGCACTTATTTTGCTTCTTCTCTGATGGTTAGGCATTTATTTTTACCTGGCTGACTACTTATGCTGAGTAGCTAGTCAGAATATTTAATTTTATATAAATATATATGAGAAACCTTCAAGACAGTTGTATATGATGACCTAGCTGGGATGGCCAGACATGGGCAAGTGAGTTTACATGTGCGTATTTTTATTGCTCTTAATGGTTTTCTTCTTAATAACAGCAGAAAGGTGCTTTAATACTGTATCACACATGTGTGATACATATCTGTCTTGAGCAGGCACCCACCCCCCACCCCCATCCCCCAGCACACACTAGCCAAGGAAACGCAAGGGTGACAATAGGCTTGACGAAGGGAGGTGACACAATGAGCACTGGGGAAGGAGCAGTTGATATCACTTTGTTTTACAGTACTCCAAAACATAAAACCATTCGGCTGTTGTGAAGTTTATGAATACTGTAACTGAGCTGTTATACAGAAGTTCGGGAGAAGGTCAAATTGTAATCTCAATCTCACATTTCCTCTCTCTTGCGTACTGTATAAATATCTCGTCTGCTGAGCTTGTTTCCCGCTATACTTTTCTACACCCCATCTTCACCTTTGCAGCTGCCTCCTTGGTTCATTCCTTGCAAGTGAGTCCTTCAGCCAGGGCCGTCTTTTCCACAGCAAAGCGAACTAACGTCAAACACTAACATATCACGTACACAATCCCCCCAGCACATGACTGAGGCGTTGCAATGAAGTTTACCTGTAACAGTCATCAGTGGTGACCTGACAACCTCCTTAGTTTGACTGCTACTGTTGTCACCAGGCAACGAACAATGCTCAATTAATGTAGCAAGACATTTACAGCTACAACTGTTTGTTTGCTTGTGCTTCCAGCTTTACTCTTTACAGGGGGTGCTGTTATGGCACAGCCTGTGAAAAGAGGCAGACCAGTCAAGTTAGAAACAATTAATCCTTAAATGATTAGCAAATATTGTCTCTTGCCAGTCAGTAATACAGAACTCCAGTCTTTGAGGGTCCCACTTGATTTATAGATACCACCTAGTAATCACCTGATTAAAATAGATAACAAGTAATCTTACAAGTCCATTCCCAGAGAGTAGCTGTTTTAAAGAAGTTAATGGAGGGCAGAAGGGTTATTGGTCATTTCCACAGGAGTTTAAATGTCTTGTGGATGTGACCTCCCTGGTCGGACGTGTCAGGTCCTCTCGCACACGCAGAGGAAGAGAG